AAATAAATAAATAAATAAATAAATAAATAAATAAATAAATAAATAAATAAATACAAAGCACTTAGTGCTATGCCTGGCCTATAATAAGCCTTCAGTAGAAATCAGTATCAATATTACTAAGATAATGAGGAGCACCTGAGTGGCTCAGTCGGTTGAGCATCTGACTTTGGCTCAGGTCATAATCTCACAGCTCATAAGTTTGAGCCCCACATTGGACTCTGTGCTGACAGCTCAGAGCCTGGAGCCTGCTTCAGATTCCATGTCTTCCTCTTTATCTGCTCCTCCCCTGCTCCAACTCCCTCTCTCCCTCTCTCTCAAAACTAAATAAACATTAAAAAAAAAAAAGAGGATGATTGCTATTACTAGTAATTATTGCTAAGCAGCATCCTGCTCATGGTGGATTGTGAGTTCTCAGTAGTGGAGGGAAAGGTGACGCAAACAGTTTAAGCTTGTTTATCACTTGACTGGCACCCTCCCTCGGCTCACACACTGCCCCAGGCAGACTCTCCCCTCTGGGAGGCTGCCCTGAGGATCTGTGGGAAGGACTTCTCAGATAGGTCATCTCCATCCTTCTGTGGAGGTGAGGGGTGCTTAGGGCTTGCCTGTCTATTTCCTCCTGATCGTGGGTAATGGGCTCCCTGGAGACACCATGAGGGAGGGGAGGCCTGTTGGTGGTCATACTCAGGCTGAGGTTACCCTTGAGAAAACCAGGTGCAGTATTTCTTGAGGCCTCCTCTTTACTGGAGTCTATTTCACTGAGTCCTCTGAGACTGGTATCCTATTTTGCAGGTGGAGGACTCAAATATCAGATGAGTTTTGATCCAAAACTTGTGCTCATTACCTCTACACTACTATGTCCTACACTCAGGGCCAGATTCATGGGCATGGGATGTGGGCACCCCATGCTTAAAAGGGCCCCCAGCTCAGTTGAATGTTCTCCTGTCACCGTCTCGAAATTCGCAATGGTTTTGAACAAGGAGCCCCAGTTTTCATTTTGTACAGGGCGCTGCAAATTATGTAGCTGGTCCTGCCCACCTTCTTTTGTAGAAAGGATGTCTTCCTTGCAAAGAAAAGGAAATTGAAGTATATAGAAAACAGGAGTGGCACAAAGTCATGTAGCAAGTTGGTAGCAGAACCAGAACCAGGTCTCCTGACTCCCTGTCCAGTGGAATTCTCTGGAAGCACTCATATGTCCAACCGTGCCCTGGATGGGGGCAGTTTCAGAAGAAGACACTGGCTGGGGGGTGGTGGGGGGAGGGCTCCCATTCACCATATCACCTCTCCCACCTGGCCCTTCTGGGAATGAAATGTCCACCTGCTGCCTCCTGACCTGCCTACCTTGGACCCTAGGGGCCAGGCTTTTCTGAAGGGCTGGGCAAGGCCATGAGCAGCGCAGTGACTCATTTCTGTCTAGAGTGGTTAAAGGACATGGATAGGGGTAGCAGCAGAGGTGGCCATAGAATGTGATACTCAGGAACCAAATTCTCTGGGTGTTGACCTGATGACCTCTTGACCTGAGATGACCCATTGAGACTGACATCCTGTTAGTTAAGCTGGATTCTACTGGCCACAGTTGGACATCTGTGGCCTATGCTCTGTATAGAATCCTGCTAGAGGCATGCATTTCTGTGTGATTTGGTGTGTGTTTGTGTGTGTGTGTTGTGGGGATGATGGGAAACAGACTGAGAAAACATCCAGTTCTGTCTGCTTTCATTCACTTTGTAATTTCACAGATATTGCAGATTTGGGGAATAGAGCCCCAGAAATACAAATGTCCTTAGGATGCTTATAGTCTAGTGAGCAAGACCGATAATAAAATAAATAATCCCAGATAAATACACATTTTGTTTCCTAGTGCTGTGTTCTTTTTCTCCACAGAGCAATTAATAGTTTGAAACAATGGGATTATTGGTATGCTCTTTGGTGAGAAGGATATGAACCCTATACTCATCCCAGCTGGATGCCAGAGCAAACCTTCACATTTTGGAGGCTTTTGAATTGTGGCTGGGAATGACATTGACTTTGCTGCTTCAAATAACTCACTTGTGGATGCCTGAAATTCCACTGAGGGTCCTTCTCTAGGATTAAACATTGTTCTTTTTCTGAGACTCTATTTAAAATTCGAATCCCTGCGAGGTGTGTGTGGGGAAGTGATCCCTGCGAGTGTGTGGGGGTGGCTCAGTCCATTAAGCATCTGACTTCTGCTCAGGTCATGATCTCACAGTTCATGGGTTCAAGCCTGCCTTGGGCTGTGCTGACAGCTCAGAGCCTGGACCCTACTTCGGATTCTGTGTCTTTCTCTCTGCCCTCCCCCACTCACTCTCTGTCTCTCAAAAATAAACCTTGAAAAAAAATTTAACTTCAAATCCCTGGAAATGGGGAGGGGTGGTGGGTGGGTGAGTTCACTGAGTTTATAACATGGCAGTGCTGTGTCATGAGACAGAGCAGCCCAAGGACCCTGAATACCAAAAGATGCCCCTGATGGTACCACAAGGGGAGCCAGGGTGTCACAAGACAATCTCCATCACCCTCTGCTGCTGGCTCAGTCAAGTTCTGCCTTCTGAAGGGGGAGCCAAAGGGAGATAGAGGGAGAGTAAGGTCCAAACAAAACCCAAACCCAGAATCCCAGGCAAGCTCACTCTGGTAGCTGGAAAAGCCAGAAGCTTCAGGTCTCTCTTACCTGCAGGCCCTTGCTGTATCAAATCTGTCCCTCCCTTATTGGCCCCACGGGGACAGTAATGCTTTGCTCAAGCACAGCTTTATGGTTGTACAAGCCTTGACGAGAACTTTCAAGGTTCTTGAAACACACTCAACTACCACAGCGACCCTTCTGTGTACCTATCGGCACTCCTGCCCAGGGGCCAAATTTGGCACTGTATTTGGGGTCTGCAGGTGGAACGTGTGTTCAACCTGGTCACCCGACAGAGGCCCTGGAGTGAGGCAGGGCAAGTTCTCCCTGGCGGCTGGAGCACTGCCCCAGGCATGGCCGGGCTGCCGGGTCTGGTCCCTCTTGCAAGAATCTGCATGCTTCCTCCCTTCCTTGCTTCCTTCCTCCCAGTTCCTCCCTCGCCAACCTACCTGGAGGCAGGTAATAAAGCAGGAGGAGGGAGATGAATGGATGAGGAGGGTGGAGAGCCACGTGGTGCCATAAAGCCCAGCTAGAGAAGGCCTGTCCGGGAGTGTCCAGCCTGCAGGAGTCAACGCTCAGAAGGTGAGGACTGTCAGCCCCGCGAGCCGGAGCCGGGGCAGCAAGGCCCAGGGAAGGCCATGCACCGAGGCGGGCCGGGACCAGGCCTCAGAGGCCTGAAGGGGGCCGAGGGCCCCGCCGAGGACTTGGGGGGCTCTTGCCTGGAGGCCGGCAGGGATTTTGGGGTGCTGAAGGAGAATGGCGAGGCCGAGGAGGCGGCGAGCGGCAGGAAACGCGCCCGGCCGGTGCGCTCCAAGGCGCGGCGCATGGCGGCCAACGTGCGGGAGCGCAAGCGCATCCTGGACTACAACGAGGCCTTCAACGCGCTGCGCAGGGCGCTGCGGCACGACCTGGGCGGCAAGAGGCTCTCCAAGATCGCCACGCTGCGCAGGGCCATCCACCGCATCGCGGCGCTCTCCCTAGTCCTGCGCGCCAGCCCCGCGCCCCGCTGGCACTGCGGGCACCTGGAGTGCCACGGCCAGGCCGCGCGTGCCGGGGGCGGCGGGGACGCGGG